TCAGTATCTATTGCTTGAGAAGGCTGATATCAGCTGATAAAGCTGATTTGTGTCATTATGAGAAGTCCGTTCTCATCCAAAAAAATTATAGAGGAGCAGGGATGGGTCAGCAGTTGGCAGTTTGGAGAAGAATGTCACAACCTATGAATATGTTTTCTTACATCATGAGTGCTAGGAGACAAAGATGAAAACCAGCTGATAGGATACAGGCAACCATTACAGAGGAAATACTGGATGTCAGAAGAGGGGCGGGAAGCAATGCCAAGGTCCAGAACACCTTTAGATGCTGGAACCACCTGAAACCTCCTGAAATCGCTCACCACGACTCAAACCGCTTTTAATAAACAGGTAACTAAAATTCAAGCACTTCCTTTATAAAGCCTTTTGGTTTCAGGAAAGTGAATCACTGTCTGACAGTTCGGTGGGAGGTTATTCATCCAGGATTGCTTCACTCCTTCGTGGAGATGCTTGGTGAGCAGCTCTGCACGCTGGCAGGCTGCTTCAGCCAGGCATGTACTCCTACAAGTGCCACCTGCTCCTTGCCTCGCTGAAGTCGCCAGCATCTTTCTGCTTGATCTGCAGGGTAGCTCCCTCGTGTTGAACTTGGCTGCTCTTTTAGGAGAGTAACAGTTTGAGGAGCTGTTTGGCTCAGTAGCACTTGGCAACCTCGGGAAGCGAATGCATTCAGCTGGGCAGTGGGCACACGTACGTGCAAGGGGGGCTGCTGTGTGCCCCATCCTGCAGTGTTAGTTCACAGCATGCCTGTGCCTCAGAGGCACTCGCTGTGCAGCTGACACAGCCCTCAGGCATCAGGCAGCTGGGGAAATTGCCACAGAAGCTTTAGCAAGAAAACACATAATAGCCAAAGTCGAAGGGTGAATTGAGATACAGTGGGGGAGGCAGCTATTATGTTCTAGCTCTCTTTAAAAACCATTCTGAGACGTGTAAGGTATTGTGTTGTGTTTGTTGCTGGATTTAAGACTGCTGACTGCCAGGCGGTGAAGGTCACTTTGTGCTTCCTTCTTTAAGGCAAGTTGCTGCTGTTTATATTAACAAGGGAGCAGCAGTGCTGGCTAACTCCTGGCATGTTAACCTGCATCTCTCCCGGGCAGCAGGCCTCTGCTGCGCTCCCTCAGGACCTGTATAGTTGGAGAGTTGTATATCATGTAGGTGTCAAGCCCAATCAGAGCTTCCTTGTCAGGATGTGTTAAGGCAGCTGCCTGCAATTTGTGTTACAGTGTGCATCTCTGCCAATAAACTACTTTTGCTCTCCCTTGTGCTGCGTCTGCCGTCTGCAGGGCTGCTGGGAGAGCTGCCAGAGAGAGAGAGCAACTGCAGGCACAAAGGTGGCTGGGTGGCACCTCTTGTAATCTGTGTTCTGCATGATGTATTGATTGACTTTGTGGATGGATCCCAGGGGCTGAACACAAACAGCGTGTACCAGAGCATGACATTTTAATCAGAGACAGGTTTAACTACTGGGAGCAGCTCAGGTAATGCCTACTTTAAAAAAAAAAAAAATTAAAGAAAGAAAATTGCACCAAAAAAAAAAAAAGGGTGTATGCTGGTTATTGCTTAGGAACTCTGTGTAGTCGTGCAGTTAAACATGAGATACAAATGAGTAGGTTGTGACAGGACCAAGAGCACTTTGAAGTAAAGCTGTAGTAAGTGTAAATTGGGGATACAAGTCAAGACACTGAAATAAGCTTTTTGCATGTGCACACGCAGACACCAGGGCTAAGCAGCAGATTCTGGTCAGTGCAGCACCATTCCTGCCAGCCAGCTGTAAAATCACTTGGCTCAGGGGATAGAAAGGTGTTCATGCTGCAGCAGGTTGGGCTGGCAGGGAACTAGAGAGATTTAAAAGAAGGTGGCTGGAGTTTTCTCTGTATTTGCAATGATAGGGAGTTGTGAGAAAGATGGAGCTCTTTTGGGGTTGGGTCAGCTCGTCCCACCAATATCTTGAGTAAGGGTTGAAAAATGACCGCCTCAGAAACACTAGGGAATGTTATCCTCCTCCTTAGCCTGTAACACACTGTGTAGCAGAGTTTAACCTTCTATAGTAAAATCTCAGGCTCCCTGAAGAGCTCTGTTAACCTTGAAAATCTGTGTAGTATGTTACTTTCTACCTGCAAAGTAGAAAGCACCTCTTATTCCCAGGTATGAATGACACTGAGTCTGGTCCAGAGGCAGACTTGAAAGGACATCCATCTGCTGTTTGTGGGAATTTAACTGAGCAGAAACTTCTGAAACACCAAAAACAGAGAGAATAGCAGAATTATTCCCAAAGCGCTGCCTGCCTTCTAATTGCTGGCCATCTCCCTTTGTGAAAAGAAGCAAGAGAAAGAGTTCACACAAGCAGGAGTGCTTTGCAGACTTCTCTTTTGGGGAAAGCAGTTGTCTTTCTTCTCTTGTTTTTGGATGCTTAAAATGAGGAAAGCAACATATCAGACTGCAGAGAGAGGAAAACCAGTCAATGTTACCTTGGTATCTGATGATCAAAGGTATGACCCCCCTCTGCTGTGCCCTGAGAACGGCAGTAACCATTTCCTGAGGGAACAGCACGTAGTTCAAAGCAGGAAGTGTCCCTTCCCTCCCTGTGTGGCCACACAGACCAGGAGCTACCTGCCTGCCTGCCTTGGGAGAGCAGGGTGTTTAGCTTTTCCCAATAGAAAAAGGGCAGCTTAACCAGTTCTCCTCTGCCAACAAAAAGAAGTAGGGAGATGAGTCTCAGAGAATGACTATTGCCTGGGTAGTGGCACGGCTGGCACCTATTTCCTTGCGAAGAACCAGTGGGCTACAGTTATTAAGTTACACGAATTTTTAAAATTCATGGTCAGCTTTACCACTGGGCTTCCTTTCATCATTTCAAAAGTCTGTGATTTTATTCTGACTACTATAGTTTAAATGCAGAAAATAATAGAAGCTAAGAGAAAAACTGTTTGTTCTTTGCATTCAACTACCATTTTACTGTGTGCATTTTAACGCTCAAAATGTAATGGCTGGCTGGCTCCTGTTGTAGTGCCTGGATTCCTCTCATGTTTCTAATGAGGCACAAAGTATAGAGAACATAAATGACAGGAAAAAGCTACAGGTTTTTTAATGACCAAAATCATGTATATTTTAAAGCTCTAGCCTAAGGTTACAGCACAACAAAGCAGGCAATGTCTCTTTCATCTGCAGTTTACTTGAAAACTAGGACTGAATTTCAGTCTCCCCAGGTGACAGAAAGCAGCAGAGAGCCCCTAGTACAAAAGCAAAGACCCAGTCATGCACCATCCAGCACTGTAGAGTCTATGTGAGCTATCTTCCAAGAATATGGTGATACCTTTCTTTACAGGAGTAAAGCAGATAAGGGAAGGACTGTCAGAGAGCCAAATGAGACAAAAGGAAATGAAGGAACAATTAAAATGAGTCAATACTGTGAAGCTATTAGGTGAGAGCATTACAATATCTGATGTGAGAGATCTTAATTGGGACACACGTAACATTTGCCCCCACCTCACCAGGCAAAGGGTTGCACTGACTTTGCTGTTAGAAATTATGAACAGCATTGGCTCATCTAAGTTCTTAATATACATCACACCTTTTGTATGAATTTTCGCACGGAACTCTGGGGAAACTTTCTGAGATGAGAATTATTTTTTGTCACCTGCAAATTGCACTTTTGTGAGGAGCTATACCGAGGAAAAAGTAGGTGAGATGTTGTTGGGGCAAGCTGGAGCACCAAGGCTGCACAGCTGACAAATGAGATTTCTGACAAGGAGAGGTGTAGAGAAAAAAAAAAAAGAGCCAAGTTCAATTCCTGGTGATTCTAACATATTGGTGAAATTGCAGGCTGTCATTGGGAAAATCCTATTTCTCAGACAAAAATGGACAGGGGACACTGACATGAAAATACCAGTGTGAGTCAGCCTCTGAATTAGTCTTTACTTGGATCTCAGCAAAGGATTAAGACAGTGTTTTTACCAAGCTCATGGTTAGTGCTTGCATTACAGTAACATAACAGGCATGTTCAGGACTCATTACACCAACTGCAGTTTGCACAAGCAGCATACATTGAAGGTACTGTGTAAGTATGCATATATATTTGGCAAAACCCCCTGAGAACCATAATATCAGTTTGGAGAGAGGAATGACAAGAAAGGGAATCAAAAGAACTGGCTCATATTCCATCTGTAGAGTTGCACTTCAGGGGAAAAAAAAATAATCCAGAATCGAAAAAGAAACACTACATAAAGCTCTGGGTTTCTCATCCCTTAACCTTGTATCCTGCCTATTTTGTGAGAAAGTATTATTGGAAATATTCAGTGGCAAAGAATCCATGCAGTATCAGGATTGTTTTTTGCTCTTTCTGGTGCATGGCAGAGTTGCTGTGTGATGATGGAGCAGAAGCAGCCCAAAGGCTTTTTGTATTTTCTGGACACATGGTGTTGGCACATGAATTTGTTCCTTGGGCTTGAACTTCCACTAAGTCAATGCATGCTGGACTACTAAAAATGTAACAAAATTGAATTTGGGGCAGGTGAAACTGATAAGAGATTTGCTGCCACTGGGAGTGTGAATCAGACCTTTTCTGCAGCAAAGTTGCAAACATTACCTGAATGCTGAGTGCACCAAGAGCTGATCACAAAGACGGTGAACTTCTCCGCTTGGTTGCAGCTCTGATCTGATAGTGGGGAGTACCTGTTCGTTTGTGTACTTAAACAATTGCCTGCAAACTAGCAACAAAATGAAGTATCCACGATGCTTTTGACAACTTTGAGGTAGGAGAGCACAATGAGCACGGCAGCTATAGATGTATGTGCTGATATTAAGCAGTGCTTTTTGAGATAGTGCAGTGGATTTAGTTCGTATTTAAGTAAAGCCTTGGACTATCATTTCTGAGATATTTTCATGTCTACCTTTGATCTAAAATGTGTTAATCTAATGAGTGGGTAGAGAAAATGAGTTACTATGGGAACGATGTCTTTCTCTAACTTACTGCCCCAGCTGGCTGCTCTGGCAATCGAAGCACGCCGCAGAACGGAGCAAGGCCGCCAGAGACAAACGTGCATTTCAGTCTGAGAGGGAGCTTTCGAGGTTGGGTTTGGGGTACAGAGGATACCAGCAGACCTCTGGGAGTTGCATCGTGTGCTTAAAGCAAAATGAGAGGAAGAGGAGTGAGCTGGCATCTGACTGTGAAAAGGAAAAACCCCCAAAAAGCGAGAGTCACCTAGTGGGAAGGAGACAAAGGCTCTGCTGCTGCATTTCTTGGGGTGTAAGTGATAAATGATTAGGGACAGCTGCTAAAGCTTGAAGCTTCTAAATCTGTTCTGGTGGTCATTAATACGGTATTTCATCATTAAATAGCTCCATGATCTGCAGTCGCTTCCTGTTTTCTGCTGCAGAGTCACAGAAGAAGCCATAAATATGAAAAGCACAGGTGTGTCTTCCTCTGACCTGGAGAGCAGTGGTACCTCCAGTGGTGGCTCTCTGCCCATGTGCTGTTGGCTGGGAAGCAGCATCCTCTATTGGTATTAAGTTTCCTCTGTTTGCACCGCCCTAAAATCTACTGCACAGTGTAATGCATGTGGAGAGGAAAAAACTGAATTTCTTACTATTGCTCATGTAACTAAGGGGAGAACTTTTCTCTGAGTGGAAAGGTTTTAATCTTCTCTTATTTGATTCCTGTCTTTGGTCTAGTGCCTGAAGAAGGCAAAGGAAAAATAAGGTGAGCATCCTGTCTCAGCTCACTGCAGCATGAGAGTATTGGGTGGGTGCTTACCCCAACTTCAACACTTACAGGTGAGTAGGAAATATTTTCTCTGGGCAATTTGTTTCTTTGATACCTTCATTCCTTACTATCCAATGTGTGTCATTTATTTTGCCTACTTTCTCAGGAAAAGGCTTGTACAACTTATGTGGTTAAATAGAATCATGATCCAAGTATTTTGATGTACTTTTTTTTTTTAATAAAAAATAATTGAAAAACAATCAGTGAAATATGTGTTCCAGATGAATACCAACAATGTAAATTACAAGAGTAGACATTCAAACATTATCAAAGGCCTGCAACTTTTTGAATTTCTAGCTGGGTTTTGACTACCACTCTCCTGTTCCAATGTCTGTCTCCAGAGTCACAAATTTTTGTATCTTTTTATTTTTTTTCAAGCTGACTCCTGCCCTCAAGGTCTCTTAATATTCCCCTTCTTGCATTCTAATCTGGCTGATGGTCAGCCTAAGGAATCTTCATCATTGCTAATTTCCTCCCTGCATTATGAGCTTTTGGGTGAGGCCTTCTCAGACAGCTGAAGGTCTTACACTGACCCAAGTTATGTCAAGGTTGCTCTCCTGACTGCTGTCCATTAGCATCTCTGTGGAGATCATCTGCCCTCAGACTGGTACCTGCCCCATTTTTGTCATTGAGGCTTTGTTGCTCCACCTGTGGCAGTGGTGCTCAGGTTTATCTGATTTGTGTCCCTACAACTAGAACTTTGTCTCTCTGGTGCTGTTTCTGAAGTTTGATGTTCTGATTATTATCTGACTTGTTTATTTGCTAATTTTGTATGTATGCATCCCTATTGGAATACTCGGGGACTTGTCTAACTTTCAGTTCACCTACTTGTGAGTGCCCAGCTGGGGTGGCCTGGGCTGCTTTTTCACACCTCTATGCAGCGAGGGAAGTCTCTCACTGTCTTTTGTGCCACAGGCACATCCCAAAGCTCAGTAGGGTCACACTATGCCTTTGAAGCGAGGATTTAAAACAACTGAGGCCGCTTTTCCTCCATTTTGAGCCTCACTGATGAAAACAATAGCAATAACTAAAGCACCCTGAGCTCAGAGTGTTGCAATATTTGCCCTCCCAGTCTGCACAGGTGAAACCGCAGCATCTCCCTACCTGCCTTCAGCAACTGTGCTTCTCCACCTCTGGTATGTTCCCAAGCTCTTCTCCAGAGAGCTTTCTATGATGCAAAGAGGTCAATAATACAAATAATTAATGTCAAGTGGCTGTCAATAGATACTAGGTCTAAAAACATAGCACATGTAAACCCATATTAATTAATTGCATCCCACTCTGAAATTTGAACAGTAAGCAAATTAGGAGGGATAGTATGGTGATAATGATCAATGCTTATTTTTTCTGGGGAGATGTTGAGAAGCAGAGCAGCTTTGGCACAGCTAAGTCCTTCCTGGAGTTGGTTTATCTCTCCCCTTCTTCTGAAATTGAATTTTTAAATATTTGGTTGTTAAGGGTATAATACCTACTTTACAGAAAGTTGAGGTACTCAATCACAATATTAAAAATTCCTTTAATGTATTTATTTAAAATACAAAACCAGAAATTACGTAGGAAAGCATCAGAGGAAAAATTATATTTTTATCTTGACACACAGATTGCTTTTTCATGTGATCTGATCCACATTCTTGCTATTTATATTTCATACTTAATCCTTGCATCTGGTACATTTAGTCAAATCCAATCCTCTGCTCTCAGAAGCATTTCAGCATCTTCTGAACAAGACGGAGGAGCAGGGATCTCATCCTGGCACACACAGGCCTTGAAGGGGGTAATAGCAAACAAGACATGTCAGTCAGACCAAGTCTCCAACACCACCATGCTAAAAAGAGCCCATATGAAAGATTTTTTCATATAGACATATCAATATTTGTGGAATGGAAGCTATTGGGGTTTTTTCTCTGATATTTGGAGGGCAGATATCTGATAGTGTCAGGTTCTCTGTGTTTCAAAGTTTTTTTTGCAAATGGAACAGTGGAGGAAAGAGCTACAGGAATAAAAGATATAGAAAGGCCCTGTTTTTTAATATATAAAATAATCTCACTAGAATGAACAAGGAGGAGACAAATAGGGAAACAGAGTAACATATTTTTACCTTTAGAATAATACAGTTCTTTGCTCAGGTGTAGAAAGTTTTCAGTACAAGTTTTTTCTTTGCACACTCAATCTGACCCAAGTCCAGGCTGCTGCCCACGCCAGTCTTTGTCTCTCCTGCTGATTCCCTGCCAATAGTTTCAGGACCCAGCGATAGTGCAGTGAAAACAATCTCCCTTCTGAGGGCAGTTTCTCAGAGGGGCAGGTGACCATGAACATCGGTGCAGTTACGAGGAGCTGATGCGGTGTGAGGAATCTGGAAGGGAGCAGGGTGGAGAAGCCAAGGGGAGGGAGAGCCCGGTATTGTGCTGCCCAGGGACCACCCTGCACTGGATTGGGGCAGGGGGTGCATCACCTGAAGCTCTTCCCTTACCTAACAGCGAGCATCACTTCCTAGGAGCAGGAACAGTTGGCTGGGTGAGAGCTGGCTTTTCATCACATAAGTGCCTGTCTGGAGGACACCCTCCTCCCAAGGCAGAAGCTATCCAAGTTCAGCAGCTAAGGAGAGAGTAAGTGATGAGGGGTGGGATCCTGCTGCCTGGCCATAAGCATGAAGGAGTGTGTGAAATACCATGTTCAAGCACACAAATCTTGTTCCAAGGAACAGTGCTTTGTGAGAGGAAGGGCTGGGAATCACCACAGATTTTCCCATGCATCCTCCTCATGTTCTTCCTTTGAACTCTTTGGCTTCTGCAGAGGAAAGGAGTCATGGCAGATATCCAAGAACAGCATTTTCTCAGCTAGCATCACTGTGAGAAGCTGATAGGTGAACACCTCCTATCTGGGGGAGGAAAAACGTAAAGGAAGAGCAGGGAGAGGAAAAGAGACAATATCTTCAAGTGGTTAAGAGTTAAGGAGCCTGCCTCTTAGGTGCCACTGAACTGAAAGTAGCAAGAAAAGTTCTCCAAACCAAGATCTTAACTTTGGTCATGCTGGATATTCTTCCAGCCAAGTAGCACAATTTGTTGAGCACAACAATTTCTCACAGACTACTCTGTGGAGTCCCTTTGGATGCTGAGAAACTGAGCAGTTTTTCCTCAGTCTCTGATGGAGTAGCCAGTGTTATCAAAACATGGTGAGCTGCAGTAATTCCTACAATTATTCATGACTGATTTATCACTTGATTTTAGGAATTCAGTTTAAATAGATTTTTTTCCATCTCCCCTGCTCCCTAATTGATTATTTTTTTGAATGCTGAACCTTTGAGTTCCTCTCATAAAATAGATTAGAGTCATTATAGCTGTGTGCTTTTTAATCATTCTGCAGTATAATTACTGTTTCTACTGTTGTCTTCTGGTTTACACTGTTTCTTTATTAGCAGCTTTCATTGCCAGAAGCTTTAAACATTTAATAATCTGTCAAGGTGGTAATTCGTTGGGGTTTTGTTTTTTATTTTTTACTTGAAGACCTTTTCAGTGATATCTTCAAGCACCTGGTCTGCCCAGATGCTTTAATATTCACTTATCTCTGTCTGGTTGGCCTCGTGTTGTTTTTAATTGCCCTTCTTCTGGATAACCAAAGTTACCCATTCATCATACAGAGAATGTAAGTAAGTCACGTGTGACTGTATCAGGCAGTAGGAAAACAGACCCTCCAGAAACAGTAATGAGGCTGATGGCCAGAGATGACACATGGGCTGTCTGTTGGCACTAGCAAAAGAACTTTCTTGCAGCCTGATACAGCATTCACAGTAAATGCAGACTGTAGTGGTTTTCGTAATATGGAGGGATTACACCACCATTTCCTGGTTTTAATGTTTTTTGGGATTTCCATTTAGGGTCCCTGCAGGAATACAGCCATTCTTCTCCCGAGGCTCCCATAGGCTTTTCCTATACAGCATGCCAGCATGGAGCAGCTTACCTTTCTCAAATGCCAGGTGAAGCCAGAGAATTTAAAGGCAAAAGGCTCTTGGACTGCAATTCTTGCTGACCTGAGTGTAAGTTGCAGGGCTGTGGCTCCCCAAGGAGTCCTGTAGGGCTGTTCCTCTGCAGCTGGTGTGTCCATCAGCCTTCCCTCATCACTGATGGGCCGCACTGTTGAGTGATGGCAGATTGCAGCAGTGAGGACAGCAGTCTCCTCTGGGGCCAGAGCTGTGAGCTGCAGCACTGCCCAGTTCTCATGGAGTGCACAGCCAGGACACCCTGTGTCCCACTGGGACAAGGCACGGGTGGCTCTGCTGCAGCAGCTGCTCCTTACCCAAAGTGCCTGCTGGAGCTGTCAGCCTGGCTTCTGCATGTACCCCTGTGCCCCCACCATGGGCATGGGGTCTCAGAGCTGGGGCAGCACACTGCAAGGCAGCTTTTCCCGTGTCCATGAGGTGGTCAGAGACTGGACAGCATCAGAAAGGGCTGGAGGACATGAACAGTTTGGTATAAATTACTGAGACAGGTGACATGGTGGCCTGTCAGTAGGTAAAGGACTGTGGTGGTAAGAAAATGCTCAATTCTCCCCATCCTCGGGGGGAGTGGGTTTCCCTGCACTAGAAGTAAAAATAAAACTTCTCGGTGAGGAAAGATGGTGGAGATTGGAAGTAGAATTCCCGGGGACCTGGTGGTATTTCAGCTGCTGGTGATTTCAAAAGAGTGCACGTGACACAAGACTGTCAAACTGACACACATAGGATGGGATCCTCCCTTCTGGCAGGGCAGCAGGTCAGGCTGCCTCTTAGTTCTCTTCCTCCTCCCACTTTCTGTGTGTGGAAGTGCAAGCCAGAGGGAACAGAAATACTGGGATTTGCACATGCTACTTTCCCCTAAAGATGAAAACAAAAACACAGAGTAAAAGTCGGGTTGTGATTTTGACATACATAGAAAAGAAAAAAATCCAAAGGAAGACAGTAATCATTTATGACTAAAAAGAGAGTCAAGAATTACTTTTGAAAAATAAGATATTTACTTATATTTTAAATAACTTCTTACAGATTTATATTTTCTTCACTTTATAGTTGTGTGCTGGGGAAATGATTACTTTACTTTTTCCTAGCATTCCTTCAACCACTTTGAGGTAAGCTTTTTCATTAATGGAAATTACTGTCTGCATTTCTTTTAGCACTTTGTCTGTGCCTTATTTCATCTTGTCAGAGAAAAGTGTCAGATATTAATTCTTGGGGTTTTTCTTGTCTATATGATAATCCAGACAAGATTCTGACAATTTTCAGTACAATAGCCTCCTCTCAGGAAAGCTTTGATTGCACTAAAACATACTCTGAAGTGCTAATCTCTTAACCTTCTAGAGTTCATTATTTGGACAGATAAAAATTGAGTTTAAAATGACCTAAAAGGTCTTCTTGCCAAGATATAATCTAGTTAAAATTTTCTCAAATTGAATTATGTGGACTGTATACCATGTATTGATTAAAGAAATCTTCTTAATGTAGTCATATAATAAGACTCTTGACATATTTTTTTTTCTCCTTTGATGGAGTTGGTTTTTAACAGAAACTTCAGCATTTTGTTTTGTAAAACTGTCACCATATTGATGGCTGCTTAGCTGGACAAGGCTCTGACCTCTGGACCAATTCTACATTTGAGGAGAACACAACTGCAAAATTATCTAGTCCAGTGCCACTTGTGAATAAATTTCTCATGTTACACTGATATGAAGAAGCTGAAGGCTGCTTTGGATTACATCCTGAAGGACCGATGCTGTGGCCTTAGTTCAAGATGCATCCTTTGCACTTTTACAATAGAAATTTTGGTAAGTGCTGCTTTCAAGTGTCCTTTTTGCCATCATAATTATAATTTTTATTTCAGTTCTTTTTCAGAATGGAACGAAACCAAACAAAGGAATAATTAAATACATAAGGAAACAGATTCAGCTATTACTCATATTTCTGGAAGGTGGGCAAAAGAGTCAGGCAAGTTGAAGTCGAGCTGCTCTTCAGTGTTGGATAAAGAGAAGGGTCCCAACTTTATCACTGCCTTATCCAGTCCCATCTATGGCTTTACTCTGCAAAATCCTTGTTTTGTAGATGTGTAAACTCTACAGCCACAGCCTCCTGTCAGTGTTTATGTCCCTGGGCTGTTCAGTGGCCTCTGCTGGAAGAGCAGGAAAAAATCTGATGCCTCAGCATTGACTAATAACCAAAATATGTGGCAAAAGAGAAACTAAGTGGAAGTGGAGTCTGGAGGAATCTGCAGGGACAGTGTTTTAAGTCTTACTGGGGGCTTTAAAATGAAATTTGAGTGTGCAATAGCATGAGTCTTTGAATTCTGTCTGACTTCCTCCAGTTACTTTTCTTTTAAAGGTAATTTCAATACTGATACTGGTTTTCTGATGCTTTGTAGATCGTCTACAAAAACTGCTCATCTGAGTTGATTGAGGAGGAAGGGAATAGTTAGTGTAGGAAATGTGTTTAAAAGAAGAAAAAGGGGAAAAATTATTTGGGATTATTTCTTAAGTGTTGAAAATACCACACAAAAGAGATTTTCTGCTAGGCAGATCCTAGTCGCTTAATTGAGACAATGACTTGGTTTCAGTAAAAATAAAAAATTTAAAATTCAGTTGTCCTTTTTTTTAAAAGATATTTTGCGGCAAACCTGAAGTTGACAGTATTTGTTCAATTCATTGTAATTACTAGAAATGCTTCATCTATTCATAAGCTTTCATGACACCCCCAGGGGCTGCTAGGCTTTAACACAAGTTGTTTTTATCTCTGATTTTTCTCTCAGATGATTTCCCCTTTTCTTTTCTTAACAATGTCTAGATTTTGTTATTACAGTGTTAATTTTTTCACTTGAAAAGGTAACAGTAAAGCAATGGTGTTTCATATCTTTCATCCGAATTCCTAGGGTCCAATTCTTATGTAGAACTAAGCTATTTCTTGCTAAAATAATGTTGCAGGTTTGCTATTGAACAAGCTGAATCAATCAATAGTTCCTGTTTGATAGAGTAAATAAATGATGTTGTGGTATGCGATAATCTCTGAGTTTTCCCACCACCTAACAGGAGGCTCATACTGAAGGGGGAGTGTGGAAATGGAGGAATTGACAGGCCCAGACAAATGAACAATTAAGTTGGTGTACTGAAGTCTGTGGCAAGGCAATAGAATAAGGTAGAATACGTGCCTGGAATGTCAAAATCTTACATGCTAGTTTAAAGTGTCCCAGGAGAACTGCTGGACAGATACTGCATGAAAAGCAAGCGATATTCTTGTTACAGCATATTAAGCTGCTTATCAGCAGCCTAAAACCTAGAAATATGGGAAAATGAGCCTAGAACTGTTTTGGGGAAAAAGAACATATGTGTATATATATATATATATTTCTAAAGCAATAATCTGTTTGTTTTCAGGAAATATATTTTGAACCAACCTCTGGTCAAAGAGGAAGAGGCCTGAGGTGTTGCAAGAGGAAAGCACGGCAGTTTGCAGCAGCAGGTCCTTTGCTCCCAGGTTGCAGCCTGATTGGTGGTGCTGATAAGTTATACAAGTCACAAACTTCAAATGTCACCATTATCCAGCCACATCTGCACTGTCACGAGTGGCAAAACGACAAAAGAAGTGGGTACACTCATGGTATCTCTTGCTTCTGTTTTACACCCATTCTGTAAAGTGTTCAATTCTGTTAGTTCTTATTTAAACAATTTCTCACTTCAGAAAAAGCAAATACGTTACCGACATAATACATTGCCTTGCACCTCTAGTTTGGACAGAAGAGATGCATGAGTAAGTACTTGAGCAGATGTAAAAGCATTGCTAAAGAAATGGACCCTTATGAGGATCTAATTTCAATTTTGGGGCAAGTTAATGTGTTGGCTTTGGGATTACTTTTTTTTTCTTCTGAATGTATTTTTTCCCGTAATGCCAATAAACTGCAAACAGGATGATAGAAAAGAAACTGCATTGTGAGTCATAAAAAGGATTATTGACTAAATACCAGTTGTAGGATCTACACTGCCAATGTGTAAGCCAGAAAGCATGTCTTGACTGTACAATTTTATTTCTATTTTCAAAGCAGCAGCAGTTAAAAAAATCATTATCACTTGCGTCTGAGCTGATCATGTTTGATTTGGATGTCACTGGGATGCAATAAACAGGAGACCCCAGGGTGCCATTTTACTAAGACAATTTTCAGAGAGGAACCACAGTTTCTGCAGCAAAGCACTGCTGATTTACATGGATTTTCTTGTCACATGTTTTGGCAAAATGTATCAGCTTGTGCTTCTTAGCATCAACAAATAATACTTGACTTGCAAACGAGCTCCTTGGCAAGTACCCAGCCACAGGAGGCTTGGAGACTTGACTGTATAAAAAAGACTTTCATTTCACCAATCTGTGAACTGGCACAACTCCTGCCATAGTTGTTTGGAGCTGCTCTCTGATCCTTGCTCTCGATTCTTGGATGTAGAAGCTATGTAACCTGTTAGATTTTACCAGATTCCAAGCAATGAAAATTAAACATTTATTTTTTCAATTTCCATGTAAATACCTCGAAGGGCTCTCAAGCTCATTTGTGCTCTTATGTTTGAAATTAATCTTTTCTACCATGTGACATTGGTATATTTTCCCTCACTTTGTAGGCCTTTCAAAATGTTCACCTTTTAAAGAAAAAATAAGGCAGCTTACTTTGTATTTTTCCTGTGCAGTCTTCTTGTTCATAATGAGTTTAAATATAAGGAATATAAACCCATCTGGAAATAAAAATTATGCACTAGGTTCACTAAAAAAAAGTAATTACATTATAATCAAACTGTCACTTTATGAGATAGTGGGAGATGAAATACACCACAAGCTGACAAAAGAAGATGACGACTTGCTCTTTTAAATATCATCCATGGCACAAAGCAGTTGAAGAAAACCTGAATTACATACAGCGTAATCAGGAAAGCACTTGGAGCTGGGAAGGTAAAACTCAGCACTAGGACCAGGGAGGCAGATAGGCTTTCTTATGGTGGAATGGGGAACCTTCAGCCTTATGGAGCCCAACACATGTACAGGCTACTACTGTCAACAGACTGACAGCCCAAGGTTGTTTGGACACAGCGTGCAAAACACGGACCTGTGATTAGGAAACACATTGAATTCATATGTTGTGTTTTGCACGGACCTCCAATCTGCCACTGTGACAGTTTTGAGTTACTGTCCTTGTTCACCTTTCTCAAAGTAAATGTGCCCCACCGAGCTGTCAGCCTGTATTCAGCAGGGGCTGAATTCCTGTCTCAGGTTAGACATGCAAGCCAAAAGGGAAAATCTCAATGTGTAAGGAGTCATCTTTGTTCACATTTTGCTGTTTCTTGTGGCTCCTTCAACCTGCCTTAGTGTGGATGGAAATGCCTTGGTTTGAGGCACAATTCATGGTCCTGTGTAGCCACTAAGTAGACAGCAGCATTCAGGTGGGAGTGTTCTTCAGACCCTTGTCATATGAGCTGTTGTTGAATAAAGCTCTTTTTCTCTCCTGAGGTATTTCTTTGAGATTTGAATCTGTTCCCTGTTTTCTGTCCTCTGTCAGCAGTGGATCCTTTTCACCAGCAGTCCCAGCAAAGGTCTTTGCGCTGACACTCAAGAGCGGACTGGTGGCAAGTGGTGGGCATGAATGTGGGGCATGGGAACAGAGAGAGGGGCTGGTGATGTGATTTTGGATGCAGTCTTGTCTTTCCAGCAGGGAGTAGGGAGGTGACAGGTGGGTGACTGCAAGTTTATTCTCATGGATGGACAGAAGCTGGTGGAAGGCTGGTACCCAGGAGAACCGTTCTTGCTGCCAGTAATGCATCTAATGAAAGAGAAATTTTTTGTCATAAAGGGGCTTTCTTCTGGTAACTGAAAAAAGATTCAGGAACATGAATGGATTGAAATTTGTGGGTTTGTAGTCTGATTTTGTTTCTGTTCTAGAGATAGAAGTGGTGACATACTGGGAGGTCTATGCTGAGGAAGTGTCACACCTGATACCTTTATTCAGTGTCTTGCTTTTCTCTTTTCATGCTATGAATACAATGACAGAACAGTGCAGCTTGCTGTGCCAGCCAAGTATGGTATTATTTTCTATAGGTAGTGGATAAGACTTTCTTACCCTTTGTGTATTCATGACACATATCTATCTGGTAGGATACTGAGAGCCTCAGGAAAACAGAAGGTGGGGGAGCCCACTGGAGACTTCCCAATACTACAGCTTGCTTTTTCAAATTTAAATCCCTAATTTGTTTGAGTACAATTAATTTTTTTTTTCCTAAGAAAACTGGAAAGATTTCAGTTCCAAGAATGTGAATGTGAAGTGAAACTTCATCAAAGAGAAATAATAATAAAACCTTGTCCAAATGCCTATGTAGCTGTGCAGTCTCTGTTTTGACAGAAATAGCTTTTGTCAGAAAGAGCTTTTGACAGGAGCTCTCCCCAGATAAAAGTAACAGTTTTATAGCTACTGTTTTTAACTTCTGTCACCAAATCTCAGCACAGGCAACCCCACTCATGGACTGCCAAGGGTGGATTACTGATGAGCTGTAAATTGTGTATTGAAGGCCTCGTGGGCTTAAATTACCATCGTCCTCATTTCACGTTACACTGCTGTTCCTGACAATACGGTTGGTTAAAATGCCATAGTCTTCTTTCCATTAAATTCATGCTCCTATAGCCTCCTTTATCATGCAAGATGTGTAAGATATTTCGAATTCAGGGGAAAAGCAAAAAAAGCAAGCCTCAAACCAGCCAACGAAACCACTCAGTATTCTCATGTCAAAAGATGCAGGTAAGGCTTTCTTGGTTTTCACTGTGCAGACACTTTCATGAGGTCACTGTAGCCTGATGGGTATAACAAGGCTGTTTGGAACAGAAACTGCACCAATCCCAGTCTTGGGCAGTCTCAGCTTTCCCTATTTTTGTTCTGCTGCAAGGAGGAAGGCAGGATGCTGGTTCATGTCCGTGCTCACCTTGCTGCACACAGCAAGGCTCGCTGTTCAAGCCTTGAATTTGCAGCAGAGCCACGGATGGAATTTGTGCTCCCTGGTGGATTTGAATCCTTAAGCAAGTTGGAGGATTAACATGTGCCACACATATTCACTCCTTTTGGGGCCCATTGCCTCTCTGGCTTTTTCTGCTCATATTCAAATTAACCTGAACTTGCAACAGATGCTACAAAAAAGGCTCTTAAATAGATCAAAATAGATCTGATGATGCTCCTGGTTTTGGGGGGTTGGGAATTTTTTGTTTGTTGGTTTTTTTTGTTTGTTTGTTTTGGGTGTTGGTTTGGTTTCTTTTTGGTTGGTTTGGGTTTTTGGGGGGTGTATTTTGTTAGGTTTTTGTTTCATTTTAAAAAAAAAGCTGTTTAAACAGCTGGGGCTTGAGTTATGTTGTAAGGATCTGTTTTGTTATGGGTAAACTTTGTTGCTTCTGCAGAGAAATCTGAATCAAAGACAAATTATAAACTTTTAGATAACAAATGAAACATTTGAATCTAGTATTGCTTAACTCTAGCACAGAATTATGGAAGGCTTTTACTTCTGCTCCTAACCATACGCAGAAGACATTTTTTTCAAAGCTAGCAAGCAGCTATGGAAATGGTGTCAAAGACTTAGCAATACAGTGTACTCTCTGGCTTTTGATTTAGCCTAAACTAGTCATCATTAGAGTCTCATAAACAACAACATCTTTCTGCTACTGAACCTCCTTGCCCTATGAAGATCATAGCAATGCAATAATTTAGCTGAGATAGATGTGACACTGTAAGGCTAAACTATGTTTTATCTGCCTGCAGCAGCTGCTGCCTGGCAATGTAAACACTGCATGATAAAGAGGAAAAAACAAATTTTCTAAAAAATGAAGGCTTTGGGTTTTTTCAGAAGTGGAGTCCTGGAGGTGTGCAAAGACAAAATGACCCACCGGGGCCTGGAGCAATGTTCTTGAGATGTATCCCAGCTCTGGATGAAAGTAGATGACATTGCTGACTCATCTTAATTAGAAAATAAGAGTGGCAAAATGACCATAGGTATCTAGGGAGTCTGCACACAAGTTATGAATTCTGGCCTGACTCAATGAATTTGTTCTTATATCTTGATAATGTTATTATTTTCTTTTCTTTCTTTTTTATTGTTCACTCCTGCAACACCCTCTCTTGTGTTGATTCCTTCAGTTTCTATTCTGAGTGTAAAACAGACACCTATGTATGAGCTGGTCTGTTAAGATCTTTTCAGGGCTTGCTGATTTTTCCTGATCCTGAAAGAAAGAGAGATATTAGAGCTTTGTATTCCTTCTCTGCAAGGGCCAGAGCACAAAGTCTCTGGCACCACAGCATAAAGGACTAGACTTGCTTAAAATGTACTAACAAAGCAGGATTGCTTTCTAAGTAGCTGGATGCATTTTCTTCGTATTTTTATTGGAGGTGCTACAGGTCCCTCAACTATCACCAAAGGTCTACACTTTTCATGGTAACCAGGCTTGCATGCACTAATCTTTTGAAAGCTGAAACCTGTATCCCTGTTTTTGAAATGGCTGAGCATCTCTGTCTCTTTGGATCATGTTGCTCTCCCCTTCTCAATCCACCTCAATATGACTCTGAGACTGTTTTACTGTCCATTGTCTTTGCAAGAGCCCAGGTGAAGAGTGGTGAGGCTGGTAACTCACATAGCTTCTTTTTGTTTTTTTTTTTTCTTCTTCAAGCATGCTGAGGCTGAGGAAAATTAATATCACACTTCTTATAAACCTGTCCTTATGGCGGATGCAGACCCTTCTAAAAGCATGTCAAAACAACTTGTTTAAGTGTGGCAATTTGCTAAAATGTAATAGAATGGAAAACAGGACAAAATCATATGAAGGCTTGCAGGAAAGGAGCTTTGGCTATTTGCAGTCTCAAGACTTTAAATAGAATATCAGCTCAGAGGTGTGTGATAAGTTTTGATTGCAGAGAAAGCAGAGAGTGAGGTTTTAAGAATCAATCTCTGACGCATTTAAAAAATCCATCTCTGTAGTGTCTTTGCCTGTAAGAAACCTGCCTTCCATGTGATCCCTGCTATTCAAGAAAAGGTAGCAAGGATTGTTGACCTGGATGAAATAAATCACTGATCTTAATACAATATTGGAATGAAATATGCTCTAAAATTTAACCTGTATAGGCCTAAGACACTTGGCAGGTTTCACTTGTTCAAATGAGAAGCTGCTGATTTGCTTGCTTATATTTCTGCTGTAATTATCCTTGTCTTCGTAAAAACACATCATTCCAGTTTTTACTCTGTAGGTTAAAGCCAGAATGGCTAATTTTAATAAATAAGGATTTTATCCTGATTATAAATCAGGGGCTTTTCTGTCTCACTGTAAAATGCTTATGGCTTCATTAGAAACAGTGTGGGCTCTTTACACTCCTGACTTGACTTAAATGGATATGTAATGCAAAACAAGAACAGTGGGAAAGGCTCTCCTGTTCTCACTTAATGTGTTTGATGGAAGGAAAACCCCTTCATTAGAGCACCTAATAATAAGTTAGAGGCTTAGAAAAAATGACTTTTTTTTTGCATGGCTACAAACTTTCTTGGTCCTATTGGCCAGCATTGGCAATGAGTTCTGTGTAATGTAAACCCTATTACGCAACACTTCAGTTCTGGCCTTAGAAATAAGTGGAAAGAAATAAGTGGAAACCTATCCACAATAACATTTAATCTGATTATTTGTTTTGTTAGGACTTAATCTATTTTATCTATTTTTCCAGTGGAGTCATTGCACTGCATGCTGGACCCAGATTTCCTGGTAGAAAGTGGCACTCTCCTAGAGTTTGGCACGTGTCTCCAACTCTATTCAGAAGCCTATGCTAACCCTGCCCTTGCTGTTATTCTGATGCAAACTTAAGTTCTTTGTCTCCACAACCATATCTGAGCAAGGTATGGGTGTTTGCAGTTAGTTATCTATAACAATGAAAAGACAAGAAATAAGTCCAAAATCTGAGGCATATGTGTATTTGCTATGTGGGATTATGGGGGGATTTTTGGGTCAGATTTCCCTTCCCCTCAGTGCTAGTAATTTAATTGATGAACCTCTTAGTTCAGCCTTGCCAAACTGTTTGCTTCAGTGCATGATACCTGCTTGTTATAAGCGTGGTTTGCACTTGTGTATCCCAAGTGCAACCATTGAAAAGGGGAAATATGATAAATAGAAAGTCAGAGAAAATTCAGGAATAAAACCCAGAAGAGTTTATTCAGAGGCACAGAGTCCCAAGGGAGCTTTTTAAGTACAGAACATAAATCTAGCAAGTTGTAGTTGCTAGGACACATGGATCTCAAGGCTCAGGAGAAGTGTCTACCTAGACCATTAATAACATAAGCAAATTACACCCAGATACGAAATTGCAAATAGAGTCAGAGTTCTTCCATTAGAAAGGTTTTGCATATTAGCACCATAACCTTGAAATTAATCTTTCCTCCTTTAGCATTCTCATATCTATTGCAAGTAAAGTTTCTATGATATCTGCTGAACTGTCTTTCATGCCAATGCTCTTTGGCAGCCATACTGTGAAGATGCTGATGAAAGAAGAGTTTATTTTACATGGAGCTGGTGTTCCACACAAGTGATCATGTCCAAAGGCTTGATTTTATGGAAGCTGCCAACAGACCTGGTTGAAAAAAATACAGTGTTCTGAAAAATAGCCCCGTCTTTCTCACGGTATGGCTAATTAAAAAGCTAATTGAAAATCATCTCAGTATGACTTTTCTCCCTGCAGACATGATCTTTGCTCAGGCCTCAAGTGCTATTTTTTTTAGTTATATGTTACAGTGGTCGGGGACTGAGACTCAGAACACACAGCACCCATTTGAAGCTCCTATAGGACGCATTTGAGAATGAAAGCCTGGACTGATTCAGCTTTTATTTGTCCTAAAGGCACCTAGGAAATGTAAAGCAGTTTATGGTTTTTCAATCACTAAGACAGATATGAGAGTCCTTGACATGGAAATGAAATTTCAGGTTACAGTAATGAGAAATATGTCACGAGGACATGATAAGTACCCAGTAAAATGCATGAGCTTTTTAATGGGCCTCTGTAGAAAAGAAGTTGTCTTAGGCAAGCCATAAGGTCCTTAAGGCTCTGCACCAGTGAAGGTTCGGGTAGCGGCCAGAGAAAGATGAGGTTGGATGGTAGAGCCAACAAGTATTTTTATGATAAAAGAGTAACAGAAGAAAAGCAATAAGAGAAGCACAGTGTTACTGTTACTGTTGTTGCACAAATTCCCAAACAAATAACTGATGAAAACAACCAAAATCACGTCAGGCCACTTTCTGAAAATCTCCCCAGGTGAGCAACCCAAAGTCCCCACTATTTCCTGTCAGCAAAGTACCTTTTCATTCCA